AGACTTTGGTAACTTATTTTAAGCCAGTATCAGTGATTAGACAGAATTAGTTATGCAGACTTCAACAAATACGACCGAAACAATAGGATTTTTAAAACTGAAATTTCAATTTCAGTCGGTGACAAAGATTACATAAACATATACCCAACGAACACGATTGGCTCTTTGGTGTTGAAAGGGTTAAGCCATTAAGCGATGGTTAGTTACACTTGTATATTTGCAGCCGATAAATCGGTCGCTTGGTATTATCAGAATAAACATACAGCTGATTCATCGGCTGGTTGGTTAATAATGAACATTCGTTAAGCCAGAGCCAAAGGTTAGACAGACTTACGGATGCAGAAGCAAAATGGACTTCTTTATATTCAAGGGGTTAAGACACAAGCAATGATCTGACAGGCTTGCACATATAATCCCGAAATATCGGCCCAGTGGTATGGGAGTTTAATAGGAAATGTTCGTAACTTACAACTTACTTGAAGGTAGTCAATGATTAAGGAAACTTACAAGTACGGACAAAAAACGACCTACGCCAAAGCAATGTCCTCACAAAGCCATACGCAGTCAGAAAGTCTGTTCCGTTGTGTTCCGGGGGGGGGGGCACATTATCTGAACATATTTGCGGACTTTTCAGCGTTTTTGTCCGTAAGTTTCCAAGTAGTTGCACCAGATGTCTCTAGCATGCTTGCAGCCGGCCAAATAGTTCTGCGTTCTGCTCTTAGATGTCAGGAGCACACTCAGTACGCGGGAGAAATAGACTGATTTTAATCTTTTCGTATATTTCGGCTTTTTTAATATCTGCGAGTTTTTGTTTGTAGGACATTTCCTTCTTTCTAAAGAGAGGGAATATCAAGGTCTTACTCTGCCCAGGGCCCATCACTAACTTAAAGTGACCCTGGTGATACTGCGAGATTTGCAACAAGCGCTGGGAACTTACTTGCTACTCCAGAAGCGTTGGGGTCCTTGTGTGTGTGTTTCATGTGCTCCATGAGGGCCTCTCCGCCGAGGAACAGCTTGTGGCAGATCGGACAGGAAGTGGCGTTGGGGCCGCCTATCAGGGCAGCGTGTTGCTGCAACACAGGGACACGGAGCTGTAGCTCCTGTGAGAGAACACACGAAGATGGCCGAACTCTTATGGGTCGACTCAACACACAGAAACACAACATCAAACACGTGGAAATGTACGGATGAGCTATGAAAGATGAGACACGGAACACAGACATTAATCTTTATACGGATACACTTCATTATGATTCTGTATACATTGACTTGGATTCGGCTGTATTTAAATAAGTAGGTGGACTGACTCACATCTCTAGGTCAGGGCTTCGAGATCGTATTTTGTCAAGATCTAGACGGAGTTATTTCGAAGTGACACCAGGCTTCGTGAGAAAAAAATTTAACTTCATTGTTTTTTTTTTAAAAAATGGTTTTTGACCTTTCTAATATTATTATCTCTTTCTTAGGGCTAAAAATTACACTGAACCCCTTTAATCACTTTTAGTTTAGACAGCATTTCCTTCAGCCTTCGTCAGTAGACTAAATTTCATAAGCTTAATATCACTGTGTTGGACTTCCATCTATTTCTTATAATTTTCTAAGTCAACTTACTTTAACTCATTTGAGGACATATTTTTTTCGTAATTTGTTCGACCCTCTCGATTCAAGTTCACTTCTTTTAAAAAGTTAATCTGCATCAATCCAATGATTTAATAGATGAAATTTATGGACATGAAGTCAGATGAAAAAAAAATGTACAGCCGGAACAAGTCTGTATAGAGAAACAATGCCTACTGGAACAATTTACACGACACTGGAAAGATTCTATAACACTGCCAAAGAAACAGCCCCGTAGCAGTCAAACTCCGCAGTGTGTAACATGGACCTGATATTTATTCTACGAAATCTGATAACGAAAGGAGTAAATAATATCAAGCACAGTAAAATATTCTTCTTCTTCTTCTTCATCATCTCTTCGCTGGGTTGTCGTGCGTCGATGTTGCAACGGAACAAACAACAATGGCTGCCATTAGAACGGACTGTATCCATCAGTCCTGTCACCATAACAACAGGAAACTATTTTTCCGAAAATAATTTTGTCATGGACATTCTCGGTACTGAGTTTAATTCTCAAAACCTTGTCGCCTTTTCTACCTTATATTTCCACAGTTCTTCTAATTTCCAATGACAATAAGTTAGGAAATGTGTGCACATTCGCCAGAATATGACCGTTAATCGTCGTGAATTCCCGGCTGGGGATCTCAATGCAGGGTATACCAAAAGGCATTTAGGTGTTCGTGTGAAGTGTCAATTACTTTTGTCCGATTTCAACCAAAACTAAAATATGTCGACAAATTTTATTAAAACTCCCAAATATAAAATTTCGTGTAAATACCTTATTCCATTTTCGAGTTGTTGTATGTGTACAGACGGACAGACAGACGGACGGAGGCGCTTCTATTGGATCAAAACATTCCTTGACCTGAATTGTCACGTGACGACATTTTTGTTTAATATTAAAATTCAGAAGTAATTCAAAGGTGAGGTCTTTCGTGTTTGTGGCACGGAAAGGGTTAATCAATAACCAACTACCTAGGGACCCTGAAGGTTCATCACCGAATTAACCAAAGCCTTCCACCGGTCCCTGTCCTGGGTAAGCAAAATCCAATCGCCTTCAACTCCTATCTCCGACTGATTAAAAAATTATACCAAACCTCAGAACCGGACGGACTCCTTGGCACGACCAAGGTTAAGTAATAAAACGGTTATAAACGTCTTTTAAAAAAACTAGTACTAGTTTATACTCAAATACATCCTGGTGCAAACTTGCAAAGGAATTTCTGTTCCTTGGTAGCGTGTCAGTGACCTGGACATGAAAATTAGAGTTAAGGACAAGTGGTGGATACTTTACTTTCGAGGACGCATCACCAGTATCTTAATTTCGGAGGCCTCCGTGGGCAATACAGTCGGTCCTGACAAAAGCCGAAGATAAATCGTCAAGTTTACAACAAGCCAATTTAAATACTGATCTGTACTGTCGCAAATCATAAAAGAAAGACGTGAATTTAAGGGATACACGAACAATAAATAAAGACACACTCAAAGAAGTAAATACTTGAATACAAATTAAAACATTCGCTACCTACTCACTTACTGTAGTGTAGATATGTATAGTCCAACGAAGGTAAATGGTTGAGTGGCAAGATACGGAACTAATTCAACAGTACGTATCATTAAGAGACCTCACCGTTACGTTAGCCAGACTTCAGCGCCATTAGAATCCAGACAACAACTGTTGCTTGTAGGATTATAACAGTTTGCAGTTTACATAAAAATATATGAGACATATATTGAACGATATATAGTGCTATTCTCTTCTACTTAAAAACACCTGCATTAAACTGACATCTGAAACTCGTATTATTTAATTCCCTTTACAGGCTAGTTCTAATGTACTTCTTTACTATATTAGGATTCTAAGTGATGATTTCAGTCCGAACCAATGGTCAGCCAAAAGCAGAGATCTCTGCTTCACATTCTACACGAGACAACATCGAAACTACTGCATACGTCCTGAAAATAGAACACATTTTTCTGTTAGTGTACATACACGTGACATAATGCATGCAATAAGACATACAAGTTTCGCTTACTGATGCAATCAGAAGGAATAATTGAACGGTTCGGTGCAATATTGTTGTAAGTGAACTGTACTGGGTGTTTCTTTATCGCCAGACCGACGTTACAGCACAGGGGCATGTGACGATGTCGAGAGTTCTAATGGAGCCGGTCTCATGAAAAAAAGGACTCTGTAGAAAGCACTACTCTCTTAACGAGAATGAATGATTTTTGATAACTGCTGATAAATTTGAGTTCAAAATTACCTAAATAACAAAATTCATATAATTTTAACCAGTAACACAACGTATTATGTGATTTGGTAAAAGGATTACTAATATTTTTTCAGGGTTACGCCCGTGTTTGCACCAAATCTTTCAACTACTTCATCAGTTCACTTTATACAACGGTAAAAAATTACATGCACCATTTTTGTAAATGTACTGTACTAATTTTCTCTTAGGTAAAGCAAAAATTATAAAAGATTCGGTAGATTTATGGATACATCAAAATTAACCAAGGAAATCTTCGGCTTCTTTTATTCTGCAACACTATTTTAAAATACGATAATGTCACTGAAGAATATTATTTTTAAAGGAATAACCAAACTCCACAGTGCTGCCTGTAAAACAGTTGAATTCCTGACAGCGCACAAAGAATTTTAAATATTGTACGAAAACATCGACCAGCGTCTTTAAAATCCTGCGGAGAAAAAATTATAAGTTTCGAATAAAACGTTTGCTATATTTATATGTTCTTTGTACAACACTACGAGGCCTCATCTAACTTTCTATCCTCACGTTTCAGCTTCAAAAATTACTAAATGCATTTCGAATAAATTTGAGATATGAATCAATAAGATGCTGTAGACTCTACAGTGTAGACGCAGTGTTACAAATTGCGTAGTAAACGTTGCAACAATCCCGTAGGCAATACTGCCATCTTCTGGTGAACTTTTTCCTTGAGGTAGTCGATCGTGCCATAATCATTCGAGTAAACTTTTAAATAATATTTTTTGACATGTTGTTATGGAACTAAATATTTACTTTTCTCATAAATAAAACTACAATATATATTTTTTTTCTAAAGTTAATATATGTTGAGAATTTGACGTTTCATAATAATATTGAATGACACAAAATAATCGGAATAATGTGCAAACAATTCTAGGCGCCATCTCGAAAATTTTAGGTGTCATGAAAACCTGGTGTCGTGAAGGCTTCTATACGTTGCACTTAACAAGTATTGATATTCTGCATATTTAACGAAATACAGAGACAAATCTTTCCCATACATTTTTCGTGTTGTATATCCCAACCAAGGCGAAAGGATACGTGGCGAGACACGAAATTAGCTGTCCCACCATTATGTTTATCAGTCAGACGCTGACATCAGCACTGCCTTGTAGATAACCACTGGCCCATGTCAGATTACACCAATATCTCTTCTTTATAAGCTGAAAATTCTCTCTTACTGTGTTCCGTGGGCAGATAAAGTATAGCTCAAAGAAAATATTGATAGCGAAATAACAAAGAAACGTGTAAAAAACGAAGCTCGCAAAGAAATATATGATCCATAGCGCAAAGCAGGATTAAAAGAGAAGATTTCTTCAGTAGCATTTGAGGTTTTCAAGGCGGTGAGTCTGAAGATGGCTGTCTTATAGTTTGTTGCGTAATGTAGTCTGGTAGAAGTTTACCTACTTTTCAGAGGTATTTTCTGCCTCCATCATCGGGGGTACTCATCGCCCTGATGATGGAGGTAACCATGTCGGCGAATTACAACCGGACTACACGGCCCAACAACCCAGAAGACAGCCATCTTCAAGTTTGTTAAGTCTTTTAGACAGATCTATTTCAACAATCTGATCTACAGTAAATGTTTTCCGGTGTCTATACTCATAAATTTTATTGCGTACAAACTGTTCACACTTGCTTGTAGTGAGTTACATGAAGGTGAACTTTAATGCAGTCTAATTATTCCACGTACTCAATATTAACGAGAATTACGATTATTACAATTTGTACTCTGAGGAATATTTGTTGTCCGATACGTAGCGAAATGAAATTCACCTACTATCCTCACTACACGCCTTGAAAGCGCTTCGGGGAGGAGAGATGGGATGGTTAGATGTTAGATCGCAGATGGTGCTTGACAGGCTGACCAAGAAAGATTTCCAGGGATGCTTCCAGGCTTGGCAGCGGCGCTGGGATCGTTGTGTTCACTCCCAGGGGAACTACTTCGAGGGTGATGGATGAATTTAATACCTGAGATAAGTGTACGGGTTTTTATAGGCGCAGTCTGGAAACTCTCCGATCGCACCTCGTATATTAACGATTTGAAACGTTTTCCAATGATTCTGATGAATTCTTATAATGTGATTACTAATGCAGATACTGCAATGGATACTCGATAGACCTACAAAATCTAAGAAATCAGAGTGTACTAGATACATGGATGTTGCACAGACACCTGGTAGTGGTTT